GCATATATCCCAAGAGTCGGGATTTAACTCCTTAAGATAGAAGCAAACTTCCAGGTTATGACATCAAAATCAGAAAACAAGTCAAGAACCTGCCCTTTCAAACACTGTTGCATGACAATCAATGCTGTTTCTTGCCTTCCCACTAGATTGCAAGCTCTAAGAGGTTATAGACAAAAGGCTGTCTCTATCTATAGTCACAACTCTTAGAAAAAGTGCATCTCGCCCAGGTTTTCTAATGTTCTGGATAAATGGAAGGTTATAAGACAGTATTTTGAATATGACTTTTTCTGAAATGTTTCAAGTGTATGTATATTTATGCTAAATGAAAAACTATATGCATGAATTAAATAGGCATTTATAAATATATGCATATACACACAGACACACATCCCCACACACATATGCACATCCATATATAAAGAAAACAAATTCCCCTCAACTGGACCAATACCCAATGTCACGATAAACATAGAAAGACTAAAGTTGTCAAGGATTAAATTTTACTTGGATCCATGATCAACAGCCATGGAAACAGAAGTGAAGAACTGAAATGACATATTGCATTCAGCAAAAGTGTAAAATAGCCAAGATGTCATCCTGAGGACTAAGGTGCCCCTGACCTAAGCCATGGTATTTTCAATCACCTCAGATGCATGCTTTTGCTGGACAATGGATAAGGAAGATCGAAGAAGAGTTGATGCCTTTCAGTCATGGTGCTGGTAAAGAATATTGAATCTATCATGGATTGCTAGAAGAATACACAAATCTGTCATGGAGGGAGTATAGACAGAATGCTCCTTATGAGCGAGGACAGCAAGACTTTATCACATGTACTTTTTTTTTTTTAAAGAAGCTTTTATTGTCAGTTGACATGGGAGAACATCGGTTTTGCACTCAACCAATTATATTTTGTTGCATTGCAATGATTATAATCTCCTCCATGAACACTCAGTTAAGTATTTACCTCTATGGTTATGAATCAGGCTGCTAACCTCAGGGTCAGCAGTTTGAAACTACCAGCTGTTCCGCAGGAGAAAGATGAGGTTTTCTGCTCCCGTAAAGATTAACAGCCTTGGAAACCCTGTACAGGGTCGCTATGAGTCAGAACTGACTCCATGGCACATAACAACAACAACAACATAATCTTAAATGATTAAATACAGCCAAAGGGCATATTCTTCAAGCCTGCCTCAACACACAAACTTTCTCTTTCCAGGAGTCCAGAGACCTCAGCTGCTTGATCTCTCCATGCCATCACCTCTGCCTCCAACTCTGGTGTCGCTGCTTCTCTGGTTAGGGTCCCAAGTTCCACTCATGCTCTTTCCTCTTAATGGTCCTAGGGTCCTCTATCCCTGGAATGTAAGATTAACTACTCCCCTTTTTGTTATGCATCTTCTACCTTTGCAGTTGTGACAGTCACAATTAGTCACATCCACATACTTTTGACATATTATCAAGAGGGAGCAGTCCCTGTAGAAGGACATTATGCTTGGGAAAGAGTCAGCAAAAAAAAAAAAAAAAAAAGGAAGACTCTCATGGATTAACACAGTGACTTCAACAATGGGCAACAGCTGTGAAGATGGTGCAAGCCCAGCAGTATTTTGCTCTGTTGTCCACTGGATCCTCATGAGTAAGAATTGGCTCCACCACACCTAACAAAAGCAGCAACAAAGCAAGCGCTGTGCTGAATCTTTCTAATATGACTGACCCAATCTTTTTGGCTTTGCAGTCTTAGTTTAGTGGTTTGTCATCTCCTGCCTGGACAATTTAAAAACAAAACAAAAAAGACACCTTATTGGTTTTCCTACTTTTGATCTCCTCATTAGTATAAAGTACAATCCCATCACTGTAGCCATAATTGGTATTGCAAAATACACATTTGCTTGTGTTTCTTCAAACAATGAGAGGTTATATCTCACTTAAGATTGTTGCCAAGGCAGTTCCAGTCACACTGTTACGCCATCTGACAATTATTTCTAAACTCTCTAGTAAAGAATGCATGGCACAATAAAACTTGTTTAAATGGTCTATTGATAGGTGCTGTTGAGTTGATTTTAACTCATAGTGGCCCCGTGTGACGAGCAGAACTGCCCCATGGGGTTTTCTTGGCTGCACTCTTTATAGAAGCTGATCAAAGAACACTCTCAAGTTTATAAGTAATGATAATAAGAGATATAGGGTTTATTGTTTGCCCCCAGCACCAACTCAGATAAATCAGATCATCTGGAATCTGCCAGATATTACAGCCTCAGGTCATTTACTTATTTCCCAAATTTTATTGACTCTTATATCCTTTCTAGCAAAGTTGGAATTCACAAAAGTTTAGGAAATGAAATCATCTTATAGTAATTTTCTTTGCCAGAAAGTTAAAGCGTTCCAGGATTGGTAAATCCAGACGAGGATAAAGTTATCACTCAATCAACCACCATTGGAGACTCTTTAGCTTACTCCATCAAGGAATCTTGAAGCATCTTCCATGTTCACTCTTCACTGGCTTTATTACATTTTCCAGTTTTCTGCTTCTGCCTCATTTCAAACTGAGACGTACCAAATCCAGTTATAGTGTTACTGATAAAATAATGATAGTCACACCAACAAAACTGACATATACTGCCTTTCAGTATGCACTGGTGGTGGTGGTTATATGCCGTGGAGTCAGTTCTGACTCATAGTGACCCTGCATAGGGTTTCCGACAGCTGGTAGTTTCGAACTGCTGACCTTAAGGTCGCAGCCCAATTTGCAACCACTACGCTACCAGAGCTCCTTTCACTATGCACTAGACATTACAATAAATATCTGAGCTGCATTATGTTACTGAACCCTCACAAAACCTTATGAGGTAGACTTAGTCCTTGCTCTATTTCACAGACAACAAAACCAGGGACTTAGAGTGGTATTATGGTTAGCTCCACCAGTAGGAATCCATAGACCCCAGACTCAACCCCACGTCTCTCTGGTTCCAGATTCCATGCTCAGATCACCACATCTTGTTGCTTCTCATGCACATAGGGTTTACACATATTACCTCAATTAAAGTTCTTTGCTGTGATTGTCTTAGGAGCAACCACTAACTCAAAACAGGACCTTCAACACTTGTACAGAAATAATGCATGAATGCAAGAGGATGCCCATATTGAAAAACATGGGCAGGAAAACAAGACTTTTCAATGCCTATCGATACAGAACATTCCAATTTTCTTGGCAGGGGTAGGACTAGTTTAACAGGACTTATAACTTAGAGGAAATGTCTTTTGTTGCTCTAAATTCATACTCAGCAAGGCACAGGATATAATTATTAATGTAATTTCCAGGATGTTTCAAATATCTGGAATATGTTCCCGGAGTGTGGGTGTGTGTGTGTGTGTGGGGGGGAAATCACACAAGTATCTTATGCATTAGAAAAATATATCCCCGATTGTAAGAAATGTTGCATTATCAGTATCATGCATGTGAACATAGCTTGTGTCAATTAAACTGGCATGTAGTTATTGTTATAAAGTGCTGTCAAGTCGGTTCCAACCCATAGCGACCCTGTATAGGATTTACAAGGAACAGCTGGTGATTTGAACCACTGACCTTGCAGTTCAAATGGTTTTGCCATCTGGCGCATTAACCCACAGTGCCACACCAGGACTCCTAAATTGGCATGAACTTATAATTATAAACTTGATAATTTCTGGGTAATTAATCAAGTTCATTCTCTATATGCCTACTGTGCCAACAAACAGACATTCCATAGTAAATTTATCAAGTTAATAATAATGTATGAGGCCATTTGGCAGCCAACTGGCTTTTTCTTGGGTCACTCACAGTCCCTCCTTCACCATGCCTGCTTTCCTCACATTGAAAACCTCCAAGAGTTCACGTTATTTTCCCATAAAATCAATGAGAAAGTTGGTATTGAGAAAGGTTTATTAACGAATCCCTGCATAGTCGATATAATAAACCTTCCATATGAAGGGGGAAAGGAGCGATAGTCGCCAAGACTGTGCCATGTGACCCAGGGCATCTTTCCACCTGGCATCAACTACAGAGGTCTCAGCTGCCCCTGCATCATCTGTTCTCAAAACCTGAGAGGGGATAGCCAGCCCTTCAGAGCTTCTTGACAGCTTTATTTCTTACTCTCACATGGAAGCAGTTAAAGCTTGTTGATATAGCTCGCCTGCCTTCCCTTCCATTCTTCTTTATAACATTCATACCCCTTGCTCTAAGGAGCTCTGGTAGCACAGTGGTTACGAATCAGGCTGCTAACTTCAAGGCCAGCAGTTCGAAACTATAGGCGTTCCACGGGAGAACGATAAGACTTTCTACACCTGTAAAGATTTACAGCTTCTGCCTCTCATTCCACCAATGTCTTTAAGCTGCTGAAGGATGAAGACCAGACTTGGGATACAGTGAGGGGTAGGGGTGGGGTGAAATGAGAAATATCCTAAAGCTCCTCTATCCCACTTCCCTACTAATGGTGACATGTTTCTGGCTCTAACTAGACTTTGTTCTCTGTCCTTTTCTCTCATGCTGACAGTATGTACCTTGCCTGTTATTTTTAGCGGTGCTTGGCCAGAGATGCTGAGTCCTGACCACAGGTGTCCCTGAAGTGACATCAGTGACAGCAGGAATCCCAGCAAGCTGCCTTCCCAGGGTCAGCTCTTTCAGACTTCCTGTTTTGTTCGTGTTAAGAAATGGCTCTTTCACACTAAATCACAAGCCAACAGACAAAGTTCCTACCTTCGTACTTCCATCCCCCTCACCCTGACAGACCTATCTGTAGAAAGAAGGACGGTGGCGTTTAGGTGAAGACAGAAACACAGGTCTGGTGAAGTTACCACGGACTTAATAAACTCTGTTTTGATGGAGTAGTCCTTCACACATAAGCTAGACTATATTGCCTTTTGCAATACATTCCATGCTGTGTAGCAAATATAAATTTCTGTAAATAACATGATGTTTCACTTAAATTCCTTTAAACAATAAAATAACCTGAAACAAACTGGGTGTTTACCTGGAACAAAGCTTCCTTGGACCACCTCCTTGTAGGCCCACCAGCCTTCATGGATTTTTGGTGAATTCTGTTGAGCTAAAGGAGAAACAAAGAAGAGACATTGAAAGGTTCAGAAAAAGTACTAGGTCCTAGTTGTGCAAGCAAGAAGGGGATCATCCATGAACGAATCCTCCCTGTACAGATGCCATGCAACACAAAGCAGCAGCCACCTTCCAGCCTCCTTCATCATAGAGATTGTTGTTAGCTAGGTGTCGTTGCAACTCTTAGTGACCACATACACACGAACCGAATGAATCACTGCCTGGTCCTGCACCATCCTCACAGTGTTAAGTTCAAGTCCATGGTTGTAACCATTGTGTCAACCCATCTCAATTGGGGTGGGCTTCCTCTTTTTCAGCAACCCCCTATGTTACCAAACATGACGTCCTTTTCCAGGAACTGGTCCTCTCCTGATAAAATGTCTAAGGTACATGAGACAAAGTCTCACTGACGTAGCTTCTAAGGGACATTCTGGCTGTACTTCATCCAAGACAGATTTACTTGCTCTTCTGGGAATCCATTGTACTTTTAATATTTTTGTCAACGTAATAATTCAAGTGCACCAATTCTTCTCTGGTTTCCCTTATTCTAAGGTTCCACTGCTATGCATAAGGTTCTCAGTGGCTAATCCTTCAGAAGTGGACCACTTCTTCCTAGTCTGTCTTAGTCTGTAAAAAAAACCTGTCCACCAGGAGTGACCACTAAAACCTGTCCACCAGCAGTGACTCTGCTGATTATCTGGAACACCAGTGGCATAGCTTTCAGCATCACAGCAACACACAAGCCACCACAGGATAACCAACTGACCAATGAGTAGGAAATAAATTATTAATCTGCAAATACATGAAAGGGCTTCAAAAAGCTCATAGAAAATTGGAATGAAAAGATAATGGAAGTTTTCCATGAACTTTTTGGGTCACCTCATATTGTTAATGGAGTCCTGGTGTGGCGCTGTGGGTTAATGCGCTGCACTGCAAAGTCGGTTTGAACTGCAAGGCCAGCAGTTCAAGCTCACCAGCTGCTCCTGGGGAACCTTATACAGGGTCACTATGGGTTGGAATCTACTCGACGGCACTTACCAATAACATTGTTATGAATTTTTATAAGTCATGGCGATTAATTGAAGAAAAAGGCACATTAGTACTATATTTGTTGTTGTTATGTGCCGTCGAGTCAGTTCTGACTCATGGCGACCCTGTACAGGGTTTCCGAGGCTGTAAATCTTTATGGGAGCAGAAAGCCTCATCTTTCTCCCATGGAACAGCTGGTAGTTTCGAACTGCTGACCTTGCAGTTCGCAGCCCGATTCGTAAGCACTACGCTACCAGAGTTCCTAGTACTATATTTAAATTGAATTCCTGTTACTTATCTCTGACTCTCCTCCTCACCAGTCTCCTAGACAGACAGACACACACACAAGCACAAACACACACATCATGTTGGAATTGGAGAGGAGGTATATCTGCCCAGTGGCCAAACAAGAACTCTACCCATGCGTGGACCCCTTGGGCTTGATAGGGAGTGGTAGGGAGTTTGCTAAAAAGACCAAGATAGGAGGAGGACAAGTGCAATCTGCCAGTTTCCCTAAGATGCTAGGAAAATAAAACATGAGAATATAAATAATCCTGGGGTGGGGGTGGGGGGCTTTTGAATCATAGGAAAAAAGATGACAGGACCTCAAGATATTGCACAATGTCATAGCATATATGAGCTCATACTGATGGGACCTATGGCGATAACAACAACATCACAAATGTTAAGGGTTAAGTGCTGTCGACTCAGTTCTAATCCATAGCGGTTCTACATAGGGTTTCCGAGGAGCAGCTAGTGAGCTTGAACCGCTGACCTTGTGGTTCAAACCAACTTTGCTGTGCAGTCCATTAACCCACAGCACCACACCAGGACTCCATTTATGATAGTTGTGTCAATTACACTACGTGTGCTTATACACACTAAAGTGTACGCTGCCGAGTCACTTCTGACTGATAGTGACCTTGTATAGTGCTTCTGAGACTGTAAATGTTCATGGGAGTAGAAAGCCTCCTCTTTCTGCCTCAGAGCATCCAGTGGACTTGAACTGGTGACCTTGCAGTTAGCACCCCAAAGAGTAACCCACTGCACTCCCAGGGCTCCACACTAAAGTACAGGTGACACTACATTTTTATCAAATCCTTTAGTAATTCAAGTACATTCATATTTTAGTTTTCAGTCATACTGGAGGAACATAATCAACCATATTTATAATGTGGTTAGTACATTGTTGTTATGTGCCGTGGAGTCAGTTCTGACTCATAACGACCCTGTCCGAGCTGTAAATCTTTACAGGAGCAGAAACCTTCATCTTTCGCCTGTGGAACAACTGGTAGTTTCGAACTGCTGACCTTGAGATTAGCAGCCCGATTCATAACCACTACACTACCAGAGCCCCTTGTGGTTAGTGTATAGTAATTGCTAAATCTTCACTTTATATCCTTTAAATCTTGTTGTGTTTTTCTTTTGTCGTTTCAGAGTCCTAGCCATGAGACTCATCATTCTGGGTCAGAGAAGATGGGTACAAAATAATGAGTTAGGAAGGAAGGCTTTGGGTGAAGACACGCTTTTAACTCTTTTCCAGGAATTGAACTCCTGACTGAGCTTGAACTGCTTTGCTTCAAGTATCTTACACACAGTAAAAAAGAAGATTCTTTCACTGCCTGTGCTTGAAGGAGGATTGACAACATAGGACAAGTGAAAAAGAATCTCTTCTGGAGATAACATCAGGGGTAGGGGACTTTAGAAACAAATGCAAAGGAACAGCTTTTCTACTTAAGGTTCTGGAAAAATACCACCTTTCAAGTTGCCCCGCATAAATCTTAGACATGAGTACATCAAGGGAAATTGGATGTCCTGGTACTCTGATTTGCCATGGAGCTTGGAGGACACTCAGATGTTCTCACTGCCTTTAAGGAAAACACTGAAAGAAGCAGAGTTGAAAGTCAGTGGCTCTGCTCTGGGGCAGCAAAGTGGGAAGGCACTCAAAGCAGAGGTTGAAGAGGTGTTGCCCACCTAGGGAGCCAACTGGAAGATTCAACTAAGACTTCTGGCATTTATAGCACCAGAGAAAGACAAGGAGGTTAGAGTCAAGGCTGAACAAGTAGAGAGAACATATCTATACGATTGCAAATGTCACCAACAAAAAGGTGGACAAAGATGGGCCTTTGTATCCCGAAGGTTTTGTTTCTTTCTCTGGGAGATGACACTGAATGGCTTGTTCTCTTCTTCCCTACTTATTTTGGGAGTCATGAACGGAGCAAGAGGGTGAATCCCAAAAGCTTAGTAATCACTAAGATGGTACCTCAGACCCAATGCTCATTTTGAAACAATCATTTGGTAATGATTTGACTATACTTTTGAAATAGAATTAATAGACAATACAACTTACTGAAGAAGAAAAAAACAATTTTTGTTCAACTTCAGCCTAGTTCTATAAAACTTGATATACCCTAACCTGGAAAATACTCACAGTTCTAAAGCAATGAACTATGGCTATCACCTGAAAGCTTTCAGGTATACATAAGAAGCCAGGACTGGTTTTTCTTATCAGCGACAGATACCTCTGGGTTTTATGGACACTCACTAAATGGTACCCAATCAGGGCTGTTGCAGTCATGAACCAAGTTAAACTATAATTATAGCCTTCTCTGCTTACAACCTCTTGTTTAGAAAGCCACACTTCTTGGCATGTGTTTCATTATTCCAAGCAACGCTGTTCCTAGCACTCAAAATTTTTGTTTTACCTTATTTATTTATTTTTTTTAACAATGCTTTTACAAAACTTGTTGTTTATGGTTTTTCCACAAACTATTTCAAAAAATCAATATAATGCTTTAACTGAAATGTGAAGGAGAAATAAATGAAAGGTAACTCATAACAAAAGAATTTGTATGTCAATGTGTGAATACTCGAGCATGCCACACTAAGACAATGACGAACAAGCTATGGCCTATTTGCCAAATATGGCCCATTGCCTGCTTTTGTCTGACCTACAAGTTAAGAATCCAACAGAATTTAGAATTTATCAAACAGTATCATTAATATCAAGGAGTTCTGGTAGCATAGTGGTTACAAGTTAGGCTGCTAACCTCAAGGTTAACAGATTGACTACCAGCTGCTCTGCAGGAGAAAGATGTGGCTTTCTGCTCCTGTAAAGATTTACTACCTCAGAAACTCTATTCAGGGTCAGTATGAGTTGGAACCAACTCTACAGCACACCACCATCACCATCATTAATATGACACCCAAGCAAAATTTGGCTTGAGATATTTCAAAAATGGTTGCAGGGGCACATCACCAGAGAATTGTCAGAAATCCAGGCCAGATTTAATAGAGGATATGGAATGAGGGATGTCATTACTGATTTCAGATGGATTTTGTCTGGAAGCAGAGAATACCAGAAAGATGTTTACCTGTGTTTTGTTGACTATGCAAAGGCATTCAACTATGTGGATCACAACAAATTAAGGATAACATTGTGAAGAATGAGAATTCCAGAACACTCATTGTGCTCATGAGGAACCTGTACAGAGACCAAGAGGCTGTTGTTCAAAGAGGACATGGGGATACAGAACGGTTTAAAATCAGAAAAGGTGTGTATCTGGGTTGTGCCCTTTCATTATACTTATTCAATCTGTATGTTTAGCAAATAATCTGAGAAGCTGGACTATGTGGAGAAGAATGTAACTTTAAGATTAGAGGAAGATTTGTTAACAACCTGTAATGTAGAAAGCACACAGACAGCCTTAATTTCTGAAGGTGAAGCACTTACTGATGAAGATTAATGACTACATACAGCCTTCGGTATGGATCACACCTCAACAGAAAGAAAACAAAAGTTCTCAGAACTGGACCAATAGACAACAGCATGAGAAAAGAATAGACTGACGTTATCTAGGAGCTCATTTTACTAGGCTCCACAATCTATTTTCCGTGGAAGCAGCAGTCAAGAAATCAAATGCCACACTGCTCCAAAAGACCTCTTTTTAAAAGTTTAAAAAGTAA